GAATTAGACTAGATGTTCGCCAAAAATGAACAAACCCGAAGTTATCATAAAATCAAAAGCCACTTTTCATTGGCTCGATTCCAGTCGAATTAGACTAGATGTTCGCCAAAAATGAACAAACCCGAAGTTATCATAAAATCAAAAGCCACTTTTCATTGGCTCGATTCCAGTCGAATTAGACTAGATGTTCGCCAAAAATGAACAAACCCGAAGTTATCATAAAATCAAAAGCCACTTTTCATTGGCTCGATTCCAGTCGAATTAGACTAGATGTTCGCCAAAAATGAACAAACCCGAAGTTATCATAAAATCAAAAGCCACTTTTCATTGGCTCGATTCCAGTCGAATTAGACTAGATGTTCGCCAAAAATGAACAAACCCGAAGTTATCATAAAATCAAAAGCCACTTTTCATTGGCTCGATTCCAGTCGAATTAGACTAGATGTTCGCCAAAAATGAACAAACCCGAAGTTATCATAAAATCAAAAGCCACTTTTCATTGGCTCGATTCCAGTCGAATTAGACTAGATGTTCGCCAAAAATGAACAAACCCGAAGTTATCATAAAATCAAAAGCCACTTTTCATTGGCTCGATTCCAGTCGAATTAGACTAGATGTTCGCCAAAAATGAACAAACCCGAAGTTATCATAAAATCAAAAGCCACTTTTCATTGGCTCGATTCCAATCGAATTAGACTAGCTATTCGCCAAAAAATGAACAAACCCAAAGTTATCATGAAATCAAAGGCCACTTTTCATTGGCTCGATTCCAATCAAATTAGACTAGCAATTCGTAAAAAATGCACAAACCCGAATTCATCATGAAATCAAAGACCATTTTTTATTGGCTCGATTCCAATTGAATTAGAATAGCAATTCGCAAAAAACGAACAAGCCTGAAGTTATTATGAAATCAAAAGCCATTTTTCATTGACTCAATTCCAATCGAATTGGACTGGCAATTCGCCAAAATGAACAAACTCAAAGTTATCATGAAATCAAAACCCACTTTTCATTCGTTCAATTCCATTCGAATTAGAATAGCAATTTGCCAAAAATGAACAAACCTGAAGTTATAAAGAAATATATAGCAACATTTCATTGGCTCAATTCCAATCGAATTAGACTAGCAATTCGCCCAAAAAAAACAAACAAGATGTTATCATGAAATGAAAAATCACTTTTCATTGGCTCAATTCCAATCGAATTAGACTAGCAATTCACCAAAAATGAGCGAACTCGAAGTTATCATGAAATTAAAAACAACTTTTCATCGGCTCGATTCCAATCGAATTAGACTAGATTTTCACCAAAAACGAACAAACCCGAAGTTATTATGAAATCAAGAGCCACTTTTCATTAGCTCAATTTCAATTGAATTAGACTAGATTTACGCCAAAAACGAACAAACATGAAGTTATAATGAAATCAAAACCTAATTTTCATTGGCTCAATTCCAATCGAATTAGACTAACAATTCGCCAAAAATGAACAAACCCAAAGTTATCATGAAATCAAGAGCCACTTTTCATTAGCTCGATTCCAATCGAATTAGACTAGATTTACGCCAAAAACGAACAAACATGAAGTTATAATGAAATCAAAACCTACTTTTCATTGGCTCAATTCCAATCGAATTAGACTAGCAATTCGCCAAAAACGAACAAACCCGAAGTTATCATGAAATCAAAAGCCACTTTTCATTGGCTCGATTTCAATCGAATTAGACTTGCAATTTGCCAAAAATGAACAAACCCGAAGTTATCATGAAATCAAAAATCACTTTTCATTGGCTCGATTCCAATCGAATTAGACTAGCAGTTCTTCAAAAATGAACAAACACGAAGTTATCACGAAATCAAAAACAACTTTTCATTGGCTCGATTCCAATCCAATTAGACTTGCAATTCGCCAAAAACGAGCAAACCCGAAGTTATCATGGAATCAAAAACCCCTTATCATTGGCTCGATTCCAATCAAATTAGACTAGCAATTCACCAAAAATGAACAAACTCGAAGTTATCATGAAATTAAAGACAACTTTTCATCTGCTCGATTCCAATCGAATTGGACTAGATGTTCACCAAAAATGAACAAACCCAAAGTTCCCATGAAATCAAAAGCCACTTATCATTGGCTCGATTCCAATCGAATTAGACTAGATTTACGCTAAAAACAAACAAACACGAAGTTATAATGTAATCAAAAGCTACTTCTCATTGACTCGATTCCAATCGAATTAGACTAGCAATTCGCCAAAAATGAACAAACCCTAAGTTATCATGAAATCAAAAGCCACTTTTCGTTTGCACGATTCCAATCGAATTAGACTAGCATTTCACAAAAAAATGAACAAACAGGAAGTTGTCATGAAATCAAAATCCATTTTTCGTTGGCTCGATTCCAATCGAATTAGAATAGTTATTCGCCAAAAAGGAACAAACCCGAAGTTATCATGAAATTAAAAACCACTTATCAATGGCTCAGTTCCAATCGAATTAGACTAGCAATTCTTCAAAAACGAACAAACCCGAAGTTATCACGAAATCAAAAACCACTTTTCATTGGCTCGATTACAGTCGAATTAGCCCAGCAATTCGCCAAAAATGAACAAACCCAAAGTTATAATGAAATCAAAATCCACTTTTCATTGGCTCGATTCCATTCAAATTAGAATAGCAATTTGCCAAAAACGAACCAACCCGAAGTTATCGTGAAATCAAAAACCACATTTCATTCGTTCGATTCCAATCGAATTAGACTAGCAATTTACCAAAAATGATCAAACCCGAAGTTATCAAGAAATCAAAAGCAACTTTTCATTGGCTCGATTCCAATCAAATTAGACTAGCAATTTGCCAAAAATGAGCAAACAGGAAGTTATCATGATGTCAAAAACCACTTTTTATTGGCTCGATTTCAATCAAATTAGAATAGCTATTCGCCAAAAACGAACAAACCCGAAGTTATCATGAAATCAAAAGCCACTTTTCATTGGCCCGATTCCAATCGAATTAAATTAGCAGTTCCCCAAAAAGAACAAAGTCGAAGTTATCACGAAATCAAAAGCCACTTTTCATTGGCTCGATTAAGTCGAATTAACCCAGCAATTCGCCAAAAATGAACAAATCCGAAGTTATAATGAAACCAAAAGCCACTTTTCATTGGCTCGATTCCATTCGATTTAGAATAGCAATTTGCCAAAAATGAACCAACCCGAAGTTATCGTGAAATCAAAAATTACTTTTCATTCATTCGATTCCAATCGAATTAGACTAGCAATTTACCAAAAATGAACAAACCCGAAGTTATACAGAAATCAAAAGCCACTTTTCAT